TCTTTACCCAGAAGCCCCTTCAGGGGGGGCTCCCTCCAAAACCAGATCCTCTCCCCCACTCTCCTAGGAATTTGGAGCCCCTTGGACGGCAGCCACTCTGTCTCCACCTCAGCATTATTACCGTCCCCTCCCTTCTGGAGGAGGAAGAGGAGGAGGAGGAAGAGGAGGAGGGAAAGGCTAGGGGAACTGGCAATATCAAGTCAGGGCAGGAATAGGGGTGCCATGCACTGTGCCCCAATCCCTGGTAGGAGAGGGTGACCTAAGAAAGCTGAGAGGATAGGGCCTCAGTCTCCCTCCTTTAAGCTGAGCCTGGGACCCCCGTTCCAAGCAAAGGCTTGGAGGTTGGCCACAGAAAACTACGGTGGGGCGCATCGCTCACGCCCACACTGCCCTGAGACTCAGACTCAGCTACCCCGCCAGCCAGACAAAGCTCGGCCTGGGTAGGTGGTAAGGCGGGGCAGCACCAAAACCAGTTCTGCCCAGCTTGGTTCACCTGTCAGGATGGGGCCTCCTTTAGATCTTTAGCCAGTCCAAAGTGGAAGTGACTGGACCGTCTTGGGCAAAAAGTTGCAACTGGCTACCTGAGGGGAATCCTTTGAGTGTGAGTGTGTGTTTGTGTTTGGTGGGGACAGGGCCCTGGCTGGTTGAGTTTAAGTTGCTGGATTACCCTTGGCCCCAGGTGGAAAAACAAGTCCTAGAAATGGAAACCAGGGCATCTGTGACGGGCCTGGGGCGTTGCTGGGGAGCTCTTCCCTTGAGTTGGCAACAGGACCCTGAACTTCACCTTTCTAGAGAAAAAGCCTCCTCGGCATTGAGAAAAATCTTTTTTTAAATGTAAATCTGCTCATCTCACTTTCTGCTTGAAACTCTCTAATAGCTTCTCACAGCACAGGTGACAGGCCCTGCCTCCCCTGTGCCCCTCTCTCCTGGAACAAGCTCATTCTACCTCTGCCCATCTGTGTGTATCCCCTTTGCACTACTCAGGCTTCAGCTCCAAGCCAGCCCCTCAGGAAAGCACTAGACTGCTCCAACAAGAGAAGCCACCCCCGTGCCCCCGCAGCAATTTGCCCATGTGTCCATCTCATTCACCATAGAACATTCTGTGCCTGGCACCAAACTGCTGTTGAATAAATGATTGACTCCCCAGTGGCTCAATGCCTGTAGCATGAACCAAGGCCCAGCCCTCCCACTCGGAACTCCAAAGGCCACATGCACCCCATGCACAACCACAGACAAAACCAAACACGTTCAGTGCCTGGGTCCCGTGGATCTGGCAGGGCCCCAATGCAGTCTACAGACCTGGGGCAGATACCAAGGGTCCGCCCACTGCGAGACCAGAGGGGTGCAGAGGGTGGTCCTATGTCTTTTGGCTCCTCTGTGGCTAGCTTATGCTGACTATGCCAGGAAGGGTGGGTGGGATGAGGGTCCCAAAGAAGGAGAGGAAGTTAGACTCTCAAATTAGCTTCCTGAAGCCACGGGACGCCTCTACTAAAGGCCTGTGGGCAGCCTGGCTGCACCCCACCCTGTGGTCAAAGCCAAACCCTCCCAGGACCCACAACACGCTTCCCAGAAACAGCTGGAGCCCACCTCTTAGGTGACCTCCCCGCACACACCCACCAGGCCTCAGCCAGAAGCATGGGGTGTGGTAGAATCTGTCTGCCAGGAGGCTAACTCTGCCCCCACCTGTACCTGTTGGAGTTGCTGTGGTCTCAACCCAGCTGTCCATACAACTCACCTGGGAGGCCTTGGGCTTTGCTCTGGGGTCGAAGATCCGCAACTGCTTGTCCTGGGAAAGCAGGAGGAAACAAGAGCACAATTAGGGTGGGCAGGGTCCCTGGGAACCAGCCTGACTCCCTGACCCCCAGGCTCTGATGGCCCCATCCCCTACTATACAGGGCTGGCATCATGTACCAGAAGACCCCTCCCAGCCTGGTTCTGCTTTATCATCACAGAGAGGAGGCCCCCTTTCCTGCCCCAAACACCCACAATAGAGAACTCAGGGACAAGAGTTCACATTTCCTAAGCACATACTACGTGCCAGGCATGTTATATGCAGGATCTCTCCCCATCTTTTCAACCACCTTATGAGGTAGTGTTATTACCATGATCCCTTCACAGATAGAGACTAAAGACCAGAATCAAACTCTAGGCTATCAGCTGCTACACATATCCGGTTCTATGCTCGGCCCAGCCCAGAGGGCTCATGGGACACTTAAAAAACTTGGTGTCTAACCAGGACGATGAGTTTACACATCCTAACCGTCACTCAGCACACAGCTCCTAATTCAGATTACCCAAGAGTAGCAATGGAAACAGACAAAAAAGAAAAAAATAAGATGCCCATACCTCGTATAAGGACTTTACCTCTGTGGAATAATCTGTGTGAGTGTGTGCGTGCATGCGTGTGTGTGTGTGCGCGCGCGCGCACGCACGCGAGCATGTACACAAATGTACATGCATAAAGAACTGGGAGAGAGAGGGGAGGCAGAATGTGCATCCACTATTTATAGGTGTGGCCATGATAAATTGTTAAGTGCTAAAAGGAAGATGCAGAATAACATGGTGTGCTGAGATCCTACTGTGGTAAAATAAACAAAAATCTCTTTTTGTCTAATCATGTTCCTGTATGTTTTGCAAGTTTGCTGAGCAAGGAGAAAGGTGTTCACCAACATAAGCCCTGTGTTAACATGGCTACTAGGGGTGGGGGAGGTGGGAGTGATTAGCTTTTCTTTTTTACATCTTTGCATGGCTGTACTTTGTTGCAATCAGCACAGACTCATATTTTTATATTCTGAAAAACAATGAGCCTGCAACAAACAATTGGAATTTGGAAATTAAAAACACAATACCATGTACATCAGCACCAAAAATATTGAAATACTTAGCTATCGATCTAACAAAATATGTACAAGATCTATATGAGGAATACTAAAAAACTATCATGAAACAAATCAAATAACTAAATAAACAGAGATATTCTACATTCATGGACGAGAAGACTCAATATTGTCAAGACATCACTTTTTCCCAACTTGAACTATAGATTCAATGCATTCCCAATGAAAATTCCACCAAATTATTTTGTGGATATTGACAAACTGAATCTAAAGTTTATATGGACAGGCAAAAGACTCAGAGAAGTCAACTCAATATTAAAAAACAAAGTTGGAGGACTGATGCTACCCAACTTTAATGCGACAGTAATTAAGACAGTATGGTGTCGGCGTAAGGAGAGATAAATAGATCAAAGAAATAGAATAGAGAGCCCCAAAATAGAACCCCATAAGTATAGTCATCTAATCTTTGACAAAGAAGGAAAAGCAATACAATGGAGAAAAGATAGTCTTTTCAACAAATGGTACTGGAACAACTGGACATTCACATGCAAAAAAATTTAATACAGACAAAGACTTTACACCTTTCACAAAAATTAACTAAAAATGGTTATAGACCTATATGTAAAAGGCAAATCTATAAAACCTTTAGAAGATGACATAGGAGAAAATCTAGGTGACCTTGGGTTTGGCAATGACTCTTTAGAAACAACACTAAAAGTGCAATCTATGAAAGAAAAAATAAGTTGGACTTCATTAAAATTAAAAACTTCTACTCTGCAAAAGATACTGTTAAGAAAATGAAAAAGACAAGCCACAGACTAGGAGAAAATATTTGTAAAATATACATCTGAGAAAGGACTTGTATCTCAAATTTATAAAAAAAAAAACAAAAAACACTTAAAAATCAAAAATAAGAAAACAAACAACCTAGTTAATAAAGGGCAAAGACTTGATTAGACACAAAAGATACCCAGATGGAAAATGAACATATGAAAAAAGTGCTTAACATCATACCTCATTAGAGAATTATAAATTAAAGTAACAAAGAGTTACCACTATACACCTATTAGAATGGCTGAAATCCAAAAAACTGACAACACCAAATGCTGACGAGGATGTGGAGCAATAGGAACTCTCATTCACTGCTGATGGGAATGAAAAATGGTCCAGGCACTTTGGAAAACAGTTTGGTAGTTTCCTACAAAGCTAAAAATATGGATCATATGATCCAGCTATTGTGCTCCTAGGTATTTACCCAAATGAGTTAAAAATGTATGTCTACATAAATATTTACAGAAGTTTAATCGTAACTCCAAAAAACTGGAAGCAACCAAGATGTCTTCCAATAGGTGAATGAAATAACACACTGTGGTACATTTATACAATGGAATATTATTCAGCTATTAAAAGAAATAGCTAAGACCCAAAACCATAAAACTCGCAGAAGAAAACACAGGGGAAAAACTTCATGATGTTGGATTTGGTAATGATTTCTTGAATATGACACCAAAAGCACAGGGAGCAAAAGCAAAAATAGACAATTGGGACTACAATGAGCTTAACTTTTGTTAATCAAAGGACATGATCAACAGAATAAAAAGACAACCAATGGAGTAAGAGAAAATATTTGCAAATCATATATTTGATAAGGGGTTAATATCCAGAATACGTAAAGAACTCATATGACTCAATGACAAAAAAAAAAAGAACAAATAAATAACCCAATTAAAAAATGGACAAGAGATTTGAATAGACATTTCTCCAAAGTTATAAAAATGGCTGAGAAGCATATGAAAAGATAGTCAATATCATTAATCATCAGAGAAATGCATATCAAAACCATAATGAGATACTACCTCATATCCATTAGGATGACTATTATCAAAAACCCAGAAAATAACAAGTGTCGGTGACAATGTGAAAAAACTGAAATCCTTGTGCACTATTGGTAGGAATGCAAAATGGTAAGGCTGCTTAGAAAACAGTGTGGTATGTCCTCAAAAAATTAAAAATAGAATTACTATATGATCCGGCAATCCCACTTCAGGGTATATACCAAAAGAATTGAAAACAAGATCATGAAGAGATATTTGCACACCTATGTTCAAAGCAACATTATTCACAATAGTTAAAACATGGAAGCAAACCAAGTGTTCATTGTGGATGGATGGATAAGCAAAATGTGGTGTGTGGGTGTGTGTGGGTGTGTGGGTGTGTGTGTGTGTGTATACACACAAACACAAATATATATAAATACTATTCAGTCTCAGAAAGGAAGGAAATCCTGTCACATGCTATAAGGATGAACCTTGAGGACACTGTGCTAAATGAAATAAGCCAGACATAAAAAGACATAAACTGTATGATTCCACTTTTATGCAGTTTATAAAGTGGTCAAATTCAGAGAGACAGAAAGTAGAATGTTGGTAGCCAGGGGCTGGGGGAGGGGGCAAAGGAAAGTTGTTATATAATGGGTATAGAGTTTCAGTTTTACAAGATGAAAAAGTTCTAGAGACCTGTTCACAACAATGTAAATATACTTAACGTTACTAAACTATATACTTAAAAATGGCTAAGATGGTAAATTTTACGATGTTTTTTGACAAAGGACCACAATTTTAAAAAAAATAGCCAGCAGTCCGCAAAAAGACATGGAGAAACCAAAAATGCATATTACTAAGTAAAAGAAGTAAAATGGAAAGGCTACACATTCTACGACTCCAACTATATGGCATTTGGAAAAAAGCAAATCTTATAAAGCTAGCAAAAAGATCAGTGGTTTCCAGTGGTTTGGAGAGAGGGAGGGAGGAATGAATATATAGGTGAAGCGCAGGGGGGGCACTTTTAAGATGGTAAAACTATTCTCTATGATACTGTAATGGTGGGTACATGACTTCATGCATTTGTCAAAACTCATAGGATGTACAATGATCAGAAATAAACCCTAATGTAAAGTATAAGCTTTAGTTAATAATAATGTAGCAATATTGGCTCAATTGTAACAAATACACCACACCAGTGCAAGACGGGAAAGGGAGAAGGGATATGGGAACTCTGGGTACTATCTGCTCAATGTCTCTGCCTGACCCCTGCCTAGGTGCTTGGGATGCAGAGAGAGCCAACAGTTTCCACCAAGTGTTGGATTCTGTGACCTCCAGGCAATTACAGGAAACTTCAGGGAGGAACTTGGAAATGAGTTAAATCTTGAAGGACAAACGGAGCTTGTACCAGGTAGGAAAAGGCATTGGAGGAGGTGGAAAGCATGAACAAAGATGTGGAGACATAAGCTTGCTGGCATGTGATGTAGAGGGGAAGTGACGGCCATAGGAGGAATGCAGATGGTGGGAATAGAAGGGTAGTGGAGGAGCATACAGCTGGACGAAGGAAGGGGCCAGCCTGGAGATGGCCTCAAAAGCCAGACCTCCCTTGGTGGGCCAGTCCCAGGCCTTCCTGACACACCTGGGCAGGTTCCCAGGGTTCCTGGGTCACTCCTGGCAAAGCCTTACAGTTTAATGGACACTTGCTATGTGCCAGGTGGGCACCGGGATGGCCCAGGGATTAGTTCTGAAGTACCACTCCACTCCAGACACTCAGGATGCCATTTAGAGACAGAGATCAGACAGACAGCCAAGGACAGTGAGGGACAGCGATAGGCAGAAAGAACAGTGAGACAGAGAGAGAAAAGAAACAGAGACAAGACAAAGAGAGAGAGACAGAGATAGACACAGATAGAAAGAAGGGACAAAGGGGTTGGAGAGAGAGAGGATAGAGTGAGGTAGAAAGAGACAGAGATAGAGAGGCAGATCAGAGAGACAGAGCGGGAACAGAGAGAAACAGAGAGAGCAGAATATAGAGGGAACAGCTACAAACAGAGGAAAGATAGCAAGGGACAGAGAGGGAACAACTGGAGATCAAGGACAGAGACAGACAAAAGATAGAGACAGAGGATCTCAAGAGATGCTAGGCAAGAGAGACCCCTCCTGGAAGCAAGGGCCACTTGCATCTGAGAGGCAGAGCCACCATGGAGAGCCAGAGGCCTGGGTTCAGACACCAACTCCACCACTAGGTATTCTGTGGCCTGGGCAAACTCTGAGCCCTTGGTAGGATGAGGATGATGGCAGCGCCTCTCATGGTCTGAGTAAGTCTTGGCACGTGGGCAATCCCTAAAGGCAGCTGGGCCATCTGACCAGGGTTCAGATTGGCACTAGAAGCTAGTATGGCACTAACAGAGGCCTGCAGGGCCTGGGCAGAGGGGGTGACATTGGGCTTCGGGGCGGGAGGGGGTGGGGGCAGGGAGGGCACATCCCTGCTGGGTTCACAGGCACAGAGAGGGAGCTCAGCATGACCCTGGCCATCTATGAGGCTAGCACGCCCCCTAGCGGCCTCCTGGAGAAGCTGGGAGGTGCACAGGGAAAGGCTTCTGTGGGATTGGGCAGGTGCTCACAGGGGAATCAGGGGCCCTGGGAGGCAAAGCTGTTCCAAGGCAGGATGGGAGTCAGGTCAGGCACCAGGGAGATTTCCCTGAGAAGGGAATATGGTGCCAAGAGAGGGGAGGCTTTAATAGAAAGGAGAGTGTGCCCCACACCCCACCCCAATCAGGCAGTCCTAAGTGCAAACCCTGGCCAGGAGGGGCTCAGGCTCCCACCTGTAACTGAGCTGATAGCACACTGGCTCTGCGCACATGCGCAGGACAAACCCATGAGCACCTCAACCTGGCCTGGGGTCACAAAGGTTGACCACCCATCCTGGTACCATTTCCCAAAGGTTTCTGCCATTTGATGCACCCATGCAGGACACCAAGGCTCCCCTTTTACAACAGAGGGCAGCAGTGGATACAGGACAGTGGTGCCCACCAGCACACACTGGCAGGTGATGCCCTGTGAGGATGGCGTCCTCTTCCAGGCAGAGCACCTGGGCCCAGGAATGGGGGTGGGAGTCGGGTGGCTCTACTCAGCACCACTCCAGTGACTCACTTGTGAAATCTGTGCTCCTTGTCTCCCAGACTTTAGGCTCTCTGGGTTTAGAAGGACAGGAGCATTCTACTGCAGAAGTCCCCAACCTTTTTGGTACCAAGGACCAGTGCTCTTACGACAATCTAATGCCTGATGATCTGAGGTGGAGCTGAGGTGGTGAGGAGCGGCTGCAAATACAGATGAAACTTTGCTGGCCCACCACTCACCTCCTGCTGTGAGGCCTGGTTCTTAACAGGTCAAGTATCAGTACCAGTGTGCAGCCTGGGGGTTGGGGACGCCTATTCTACTGGACTCAGCTGTGGGTTGATTGCACTAACTCTTCCTCCCAAGACACCAACAGGCAAGGAACAGAGTTTTCACATAGCAGGAGAGGGTAGCACACAGTGGGTGCTCAGAGTCTGGGCAGTTCGTTGCCCCTCCCCGCCACCGTTCTGATGGTATATGAGGCTTGGACTCCTTAAGAAAGAGGGGCTGGAATGTCATACCAGTGAAGTCCCCTCCTCAGTGACCAGCAGGGGCCAGCGTGGGTGGTGGGCCACTGAGGCCAGTCTCTTCTCAGAACATTCACACAGTATGGAGATCACAGCTACCACCCCCCACCCCCACAGTGAAGTCACTGTCCCCAGCTACCTAGAGCTGCTTCCTTACTGGGGAAACCAAGGCACCTTCTTGCCACCCTCGTGTCACAGCCCCTGGCAGTCATGAGGCTACAGCTCTGATCTCTTCAGGCACGCACTGGAGCTGGGAGGCTGGAGGAGCAGCAAGCACCCCAGAGCCAGGGATTCTACCTGGGGTACAGGCACCCCTGCTGCGTCCATTCTCCAGGTGCAAAGCAGCAGGCTCAGAGGGTCGGAGTGCCTGTCCCACCGCCCAAGCCGGACCGCACAATCTCCACAGAATAGCCCCTAAGAAGCTGGCATTAGTCCTCTGGAAAGCAACTGGCTAAAATGTACCGACCACCTTAAAAATCTTCATAGCCTATAAGCCAACATCCCTGGTAGGTATCTAGGCCAGGGGTGAGCAAGCTAAGGCCAGGGGGCCAAATCAAACCCAAGGCCTGGTTCTGCAAATATTTTTACTAGGACGTGGCCACACCCACATTTAAATATTGTCTATAACTGCTTTTCTGTTACAAGGCAGAGCTGACAGAGACAGAGTGGCCTGCAAAACCCAAAGTATTTACAGAAGTTTACCAATCCCTGCTCTAGGCTAAGAAAGTCACATAAAAAGCAGGAAAAAATCTACATACAAATATGTTCACCTGCCGCAACTTATAACACAGTGACGAGAAGTGGAAGCAATCCACTCGTCTGACAAGTAGGGGCTTAATGGAGTAAACTGGTAAATCTATGTGATAAAATATTTTCCCAGACATTTGTAAAATTTTTGATGAATTGGGGGAAATGTTTATTATGCTGAACAAAAAAATTCAGGACGGAGTAACACGGAGAGAATGATTTCAACACATACAGAAAAAGCATGGAGAGAAAAATGTCAAAATGGTGACAGAAGTTGTTCCTGGGTGGGATGTTTACAGGTGATATTTTTTTCCTCACTTCTTTACATTTTCCTTGCTCTCCAAAATTTGTAAAACAAGCACAAACTACTACACTTTAATGATCATAAGGTAAAGACCTCCTGTGATAATCTGCTTCCAGCTTCCTCTTTTCCTCCCTCCCTATCTCATTCTGTGCCTGTTTGTCTCTTCTTCACACACATGCTATGGAGACACAGGGCAGAGGTTTCTCATTGGAGGGGGAGGTCATGGCCCAAATGTGGGACTCTGTCCAGGCTGGTCCCCTTGCCTGGGATGCTTGTCTCCTCCTCCTTAGTGAGGGCTCATCCCTAAGGAACAACTCTGACCTCACTGTCCCTAGGAAGCAGTGCTCACCAGTCTCTACATGACTACCTTGCCCTCAAGCAGCAGCTCCTTGGGGGCCAGCAGCCCCGTCTTATTTACCTCCCAACCCCCTAAGCTCAGGCCATCGTCTGGAACCTACTGTTTGATGACCCAAACGGGGAAGAAAAAGTTGATGAAGACTAGAAAATGGGGCTTCCAAGAGGATAGAAAAGTTGTAAACGGGATCCCCCCAAGTAGGCAGACCCCACATTTTCTCCTTCTGACTAGTCCTCGCACCTCCACCCCCTTCCAACCAGCTCTTCCCCATCCCCTTTCCCGGCAACACTTGCAGTCTCTTTCATCGCCTTCCACCCACCCTTCACATGTGGCTTCAGGCCCCAGCACACCCCAAAAGGTCCTGAAGGTTGCCACATCCCCAAATCCAACAGGTATGTGTTCACTTCCCGGTGTTCCCCGATACCTCCCTGGGGTAGACAGCCAGCACTGCCTTGGCTTCCTTCCTCCCACTGGGCAGCTCCTTCTGTCGCCCTTCTAGGTTCTGATCCCTCCTCCCAGCTCACTCACCCTCTTCTCATTTCCTTCTCTCCAACTTTGGGGCAGCTCTCGTGCCTCTGCAGGTACCACATAAACACGAATGACACCCACGCTTCCACCTTCAGCTCAGCTCACAGCCCAGAGATCCGGTCCAACTGACACTTTGGTTTAGATGTCCCAGGTACCTTCAACACAACAAGCCTAAAGCCACAACTGAGAGTGCCCCGTCTTGATCGCAGGCCTCTCCTCCAGCCTGTAACCCAGAAGCCAGCCTCACGACCCTTGACTTTTTACACCCAGCCCACCATCAATCCATGCTATCCTCCCCACATCTGCCTCTCCATCCGCACCCCACAGGCAGGATGTCCCTCTCTTCCCTGGGAAGTTTTCCAACCTCCACTCTGGGGTACGGCCCACCCTGCCATGCTCTGTCCATACTGAGGATGGGGAGCTTTCAAAACACAAATCTGCTCACTCACACCACGGCCCGCCAGTCTCCTGCTTTCGACACTACAGTGCTCTCTGGTTGCATCTACAGTGACAAGCACAACCCTTGTGCACTTGACTCTGCTCTCTGCACCCAGCCTTGCTGCCCTGACTCCTGAACCTGCATCTGCAGTTGCTGCCTAGCAACTCTCTCTGCCCCACACTGTTAACCCTTCCTTCAGAGGCCCTACCCAAGGCTACTGCCTGAGGCCAAGCCTCCCCGGCTCCTCCAACCAGCTCAAAGCACCTCATGTTCCTTCCTCAGAGCCTGTGTCACAGATCACAATTATCATTTCATCCACATTATCCACATCTGTCACCCCCGCCATAGTAGGGCTGGGTGGGCACAGGGCCTGGTATCAATGAGGACTCCAAGGCCTGCTGACTGGGTGTGGGGGTTGGTACATGGCCCTGTGTCTGGATCCTCTTAACACAACCTTCAAGGAAAGGAAGGCAGTTTGGACAAAGCAGATAGGAAGGCAGGCAAGGCTGCCTAAAGGTGGTGGTGGGAGTCAAAAGGGCCAGCATGGGGCTTTTCTTCGGTCTTCATCTGATAGGGATCCCAGGCCCAGGTACCAAGGTGAGGTGGGGGCTTGCAGATACAGGTGTGAGCCAGCGGATGGGAGGGAAGCTGAGGTCGGGGAGGGACTCATGAATGCCTCTCCTGACCTTGGTGCTCTTGTGCCCTATAAATACCACCCAGCCAGACAAGTATAGCTTAGGATGTGTGCCCCGCAACACCATGGCCCCGCTCAGAGCAGGACATGCCTCAGGCCCCCCACAGGCACTTAAATGAGCCTCACCATCCACATGCTTACCTTGCATGTTGTGCCCACAAGGGCTCCATCCCGGCTCCAGACAGCACCCTGCACCAGGTCCCCGTGGGCTGCCAGCTCTGCAGAGAAGCAGCCAAGGTCAGGAGGGGCTCTAGGGTCTCTACACCCCATCCTGGGAAATGAGGACACCAGGGAAACAGGTGGACCTGGTCGGGAGTAACTCTCTGGGGCAGAGACAGAAGCTGCCAGCCAGGGTCCCTCTCAGGCAGGAGAATTGAGGGCAGCAGCTCCTTCCAGATATGCTGTGCTACATCCAGGGGCTCCTTCCCCAGCCCTGCCATTGTCAGGCCATGGTCTTACTCTAAAACCTTCCGAGGCTCCCTGCTCCTCTGCCTGGCTCTTACTTCCCACCTAGGCTCATTTCTGGTCACTCGCCAACTCCCTACCCCGGCTCCCCTGCAACTGGGTTATGCCAGCCCACAGATGTGCCACACACACTCCCGCCTGGGCCTCTGCTCTGGTCATCCCCTCTCCTCCTCCAGTGTGACGGTTTGAAAATTTGTCCACAGGCTTAACTATGAGCCGCCCCGCCACCACACACACAAAAAAGATGTTGAAGTCCTGACCCTTAACACCTATGAATATGACTTTATTTAGAAATAACTTAATTTGCAGATGATCAAGTTTAGCTGATATCATTAGAGTGGGCCCGAATCCAGCGCAACCAGTGTCCTTGTGGAAAGGGAAACCGGACAGAGATAAACGTGCACAGAAAGAAGACAGTGTGAAGACACAGGAAAGGAGAAGACGACCACCTACAAGCCAAGGAATACCTGAGGCTACAGAAGCTGGAAGAGAGAAGTGAAGCAACCTCGAAAGGAACCAACCCTGCCAACATTTTTATTTCAGACTTTTGGTCTCCAAAACTATGAGATGATAATTCCTGTTATTTTTAAGCCACTCAGTTTGTGGTACTTGAGATGATAATTTCTGTTATCTTTAAACCACTGTTTGTGGTCCTTCATTCAGGCAGCCCTAGGAAACTAACATATCTTCCCTTCAAAATGTGGAGCCTAACTCTCTTCCTCTTGAGTGTGAGCAGGACTCTGCTACTGGCTTCTAACAAAGAGAATCTGGTAGAAGGGATGGGATGTGACTTGCAAAGCTGGGTCCTAAAAGGCACCATGCTTCCCCCTTGCTCCTCTCTCTTGGACTGTTCACCAGGGAAAGCCAGCTGCCATGCTGTGAGGGCACTTCAGCAGTCCATGGAGAGAACCACATATGGGAATTGAGGCCTTCTGCTACAACTGGCTCCATGGGGATGAACCACCCTCCACCCAAGTCAGGCAGCCCCAGCCAGCATCTCAGCTGCAACCTCACGAGAAACCTTGAGCCAGAACCACCCAGCTGAGCCCCTCCCAAGCTCCCAATCCTCAGAAACTGTGAGATAATAAGTGTTTACAGTTGTTTTAAGCCTCTATGTTTGGGGGTAATTTGTTCTATAGCAATAGGTAACTGGTAGGCCAAGCTTCACTCCTTGGGATTAATTCCGGCCCTGACACCTACTTGCATCACAGCTTTGGCCATGTTATTTAATGTCATCTGCCGCACGGGAGTGGAAACACCCCCAGTGAAACTGCTATGCTATGCTGAGAAGTAGTCATGAAGCCCTCGGCATGATGCTGGGCCTACAAGAAGGGCTTGAAATGATAGTTACAGCTGGGTGACTCCCTAATGACATTTGCCTGGTGACCTTCACCTTTGCTTAGAAGGAAGGAAGGAAGGAAGGAATCACTTTGCTAAGTGAAAGAAGCAAAACACAAAAGGTCCCATATTGTATGATTCAATTATATGAAATATCCAAAATAGATCAATCTATAGAAACAGAATGCAGACTGGTTGCCAGGGGTTGGGGCAAGCAGGAAACTGGGTAGAAACTGCTTAATGGGTGGAGGGAAGAAGGGAGGGAGGGAAGGGAAGGGAAGGGAAGGGAAGGGAAGGAAGGAGGGAGGGAGTAAGGAAAAAAGGTTAGGCTCATGTCGACTGCAACGAGAGCTCTCTGGGGACAAGGCTGGCACCTTGTACTTCCCATCTTGTGGCGCAAGATGCCTCCATGGTGGACACTGGCTGAAGCTGTCAGGAGGGAACCCCTGAGACACCTAGTTATTCTACTGATGACTCCTGGCCCCAGCCCCAGAGGTGGAGACATCACCATGTTGAATTTAGCCTACCCTGGACACTGCACAGCCCCAGGGTACAAGTCCATTCTTCAACTCTCTGAGCCTCGTATCTTTATCCTAAAAGTGGGGGGTGAGCATGTTGGGGAGGACTCCGAAGAAAGGACTCAGTGATGCCACCACAGAAAATACTGTTGTAGGTCACACTACAGGGTCATAACCAATCAAAAACTGAGGAGTCTGGCCCAAAGTTGTTGTCATTATGAATGGTCTGAATTCACATGCTGAAACCTTCCCCCTGCCGTGATGGAATTTGGAGACGAAGGCTTTGGGAGGTTATTAGCTCATGAGGTAGAATCCCCATGAATGGGATTAGCACCCTTATAAGAGGCCCCAGAGAGTTCCTTGCCCCTTACACCGTGTGAGGGGTGTAAGATGGTTGGCTATGAATCAGGAAGCAGGTTCTCACCAGACACCAAATTGTCTAGCACCTTGATCTTGGGCCTCCAGCCTCAAGAACTATGAGAAATACATTTCTGTTGTTTGTAATCAACCCAGTCTATGAGATTTTGTTATAGCAGCCCAAACAGATTAGGACAATCTATAGTGGGAAAACTAGAAAAAGAGAAACATGGCAAGGAGCAGAAGGCTGTAAGAGAGCAAATCTTCAGGCTCAGGTAGAAGTCAATAGTTTGTTTTCAAAACTAAAGTGACACACAATTCAAGAAATAACAGTACGAGGAAGTTATTTAGACATATAGAGGAAAAAGCAGAAAAAACAAATGAAAACAGATGCCTACAGAAAGTGGAAAGGGTGGGGTATTTATAACAACACAATTTTATACTGCGTATATGTGAGGCTGATACGTACTTACCAACTCAAGTTATCAAACACATAAACAGAGAAACGGAGCACTGTCCAGGAGGGGGCTGCCCTCCCTGGGATACAGCCAGTGTGGCCTGTACCTGTGAGGGGCTGCTGCTTGGCCGCATCCCAGACCTTCACGCCTGTGCCTGCCACGCTCACCAGGACACCGTCCACGGTGGGATGGAACTGTAATACCTCCACCTGGGTGTCCTCGGGGCCCAGTACCAGCCCGGGCCCCGAGGGCAGCTCTTGGCCAGGGCCTGGCAGTCGCCATAGTTTCACCTGTGGGAAAGAGCAATTTTGTGAGCCCAGGGCCAGGAGAGGCCTCGCTGCCTCCAGTCGGCCTTGCCCGGGGCTGCACCTGACCCCAGAGGCCATGCTTGGGCATGAGGCTGCATGTCCATGTTAGGGAAAGGAGGGGGATCCAGCTCGGGATCACGAATGTGGTTGGAGGCTGGGGGAAAAATGGGAGTTGGGGAGCCAGGGGTTCCACTCTGTCTCTTTCAGGCATCCCACACCATCCTAGCCCTACTGTCCTCAGAAAGCAAAGCAGCAGGACAGCAGAGCAAGGCCACAGCTCTGTCAAGTGCACAGGAGCACATGGGAGCTGTAGTGGGTTGAGGAACTGAGAAAGTCTGGGCTAGCCCAGCCCTGCAAATCTGCAGAGGGACCAAGGGACAGTGGGAGGGGCTAGACTGGGAGGGAGTAGGGTCTCAGGGACTCGAGGGGCTCAGAAGGGCCCAACTGGGAGTAGGTGAGGCATCAAGCAGCTCTTCCAGTGGCTCACTCACCGTCCTATCAGCTGAGCCCGTAGCCAGGAGGAAGTCGTCAAAGGGAGAGAAGTCCAAGTCTGTGACCAGGTCTGTGGGAGAGGAATGGCTGACTCAGGCCCAACAAGAACCTACTAGAACATCCTATTTCCAGCCCAACGTGCTCTCTCCCCAAGGTGGGGAACTATGGCTCAGGGCTTCAGAGGTGACATCTCTGCACACATAGCTGTAGGATCATAAGTTCCAGAGGAAAATCACTTCTGCAATCTATTGGCAAATGCCACAGGCGCCAGCCTGCAACACATTTCCTGGAGAGCCCTGGGAACCCAGGGTAGCCACCTACCCAGCAGAGGGAGGAAGGTGGGACAGTGGGCAGGAAGCTCCTCAGATTACCAGGCATCTGCATTTGCCCCAAAGCCAGAGCCCAGCATGGGGCCTGGCTCAAAAATGTGTGAATGAACGCCAAGTGCTGGCCCCATTCCATCAACTAGAGATTCCCAAACTACCCAGCCCAACTGGCCCTCAGCATTTCCTCAGGGAGACACACAGTTTGTACAGCGAGGATTGGGCTGTGCATGCAGGGGTGACCCGAAGTTTGGGGCAGGGGTTATTATATGCTCGACCTACAAAGAGTTCCCTGCCCCACCAAAGCCAGAGCTGACCAATCCAATCATAGGAGTGCATCTGACCTGTGCCCAAGAAGCCAGCTGCTCTCTTATGGGAATTAAACCTGGAATGGGAAGGCCTAGCAACAGGGCGCCCTAGGGACTGGCCTAGGAGGAAGGCCGCCAGCTGGGAGAGAGCTAACAGCTCCTGTGCCAGGACCCTCCGAAGGCCTGCGCATCCAGCTGCTCCTTCAGTTCTGGAAGCTCCCCAGGAATCCCTTGGCTTAAGCAAGTTGAAACTGGTTTTATTCTTTGATACCAAAGAACCTGAATTGCCCAGCTCTGGGGGCCAGGACAGGAGGTGGAGGTGCACAGAGTGAGCCAGAGCCCAAAGGGGAAATGACACTGATGGTTTCAGTGGGGGCAGAGACAAGGCCAGGGTTTGAGTGTCGGGGGTGGTGGAATATGAGCAGGACGGCCAGGCCTGCATCACCAGAGCAAGGAACACAGCGGCCCCCCCCACTGCCTGCGTCCCCACCCGGCCAACCACTACATTTCCTCCTGGCTAGAGATAAGAAAGAGAAGGGGGGTGGACAAGGACAGGCACCCCTTGAGACAGCCCCAGCCTAGACTTCCAGCCACAAACCCCTGCTGCCCCACCCTGTGGGCTCTGCACTAGACAAGGCAAGGCCCAGGCCCGAAGCGGCAGCTGGCGTGGACAGCCTGGCACCCCAAGGGAATGAGAAGTGCTAACGTGGCTGATCTGAGTGCCTGGCTGTGCCAGAAGCCTGAGTCCTTCATATGCATTTATCTCACCAAATCCTCATAGTGACCCACCAGGATAGCACCGAGGCAACATCACCCAAGTGAAAGACAAGGACACGAGGACAGAGAAGTTAAGTAACTTGGCCAGAGCTGCACACCTAAGAAAGGGTGAAGTTGAGTGAGGAGGGTCAGGCCAGGCAGGCCAGCTTCAGAACCTACATCCTCAGCACATCATCCCACTGCCTTTCCCAAATTGGAGTAGAGCCCCAGCCCACCCCACAGCCCAGACATGCAGAAAGGCCCTCTAGATGCCTCCCTGCCCTCTGTTCCCCTGGGCAACTGGACCTTGAGACAAGAGACAGAAGGTACTCCAAGGGCAGGGAGCCTGAAGACAGAGCAATGGCCAGAACACAGTCCTCCCTCCTCGGACCACAACAAAGAAGGCAGAATGGTGCCCGGTGCCTCGAGGGCAGGTTCTGAGGAAGCTGGAGCTCAGCAACTCCCAGAGCTGCTTTCCAGCAAGACTACTCCTGTAGGGAGAGGCTCTGAATAGTTGGAGCCATGGTGAGGCTATAAGCCACCAACACAAGCTTGGTCCAGCTTCTATTTGGAGCCCTCGGGTCACAGGGGGCTCACTACCTCACAAATGTCACCAACTTGGGGTAACTCCTTTGTGAGTAAAAAGCACCCAGAAGCAAGCAGCATGGTGCCTAAGAACATGGCATCAGATAGTTCCGATTCTGGCTCTGCCAGTAGCAGTGCCAACACTGGCAAGTTCCTAACCTCCCTGAGCCTCAGTTTTCTTAGCTGAAAAGTGGGTTATTTTAAAATCTACTGCAAAAAAGTGTGAGTGGATGAGAAAGCAGACTTCTTATATACACTACAATACAAGTGGATCTCAAAGCATTATGCTAAGTGCAAAAGACCAGACTCAAAATACTATGTATGGTATTTTCCATTTATGTGAAATGTCCAGAAAAGACCAGTCTATAGAGCAGAGGCCAGCAAACATTTTCTGAAAAGGGTGAAGTAGTAAATATTTCAGGCTTTGAGAGCCATATGGTCTCTACTCAATGCTGCCACTGTTGGGAGAAAGTGGCCAAAGACTGCCCATCAATGAAGAGGCATGGCTGCATTCCGATACAACAGTTTACAAAGACAGGCAGCAGGCCAGATTTGGCCACATTTGTAGCTTGCAACCCCTCCTACGGAGGCATAAAGTAGATCAATGGTTGCCTGAGGCTGTGGAGCCTGAGGTGGAAATGGTTTAAGCACAAAGGGCCACAAAGCATCTTCTGCAGATCTAAAACTATAGGGAGATATGCACAACTCTGTAACATTAATGTCATCAAATTCTTCACTTAAACACATAATGTTAATAGTATGCAAATGATACCTCACTAAAATTATTGCGAAAAGGATTAGATGAGAAAATGCAGATAACATACTTAGTACATAGAGAGATCTCCATCAATCTTCACTATTGTTACTTCATTAACTGCCTTCCTCATCATCAGGACTTCCACACTGAGCTTCACACCCAGAACAGGGACTAAGGCTCAGCCCACTTCCCTCACCCAAAGCCACCCAAAAGGCAGCCAGGAACACAAGCCAGTGGGGCTGGGCCCACAGCCACCGCAGCTGGACAGGGAGGAGGCAGCCAGGCGCCACCCGAGGAAAGCAAACTGTCCCCTGGAAGCAGTCAGGCTGCCAGGAGGGCTGCTGGGCGCCCCCAGAAGCAGCTGTGGCAGACAAAAGTTCCTTGTGAGGGCCCATCTCCAGCCCTATAGTCCAGCCCGCCCCCTTCCTGGAAGTCCCAGAGCAGCCTGACTGGGGAGGAGGTCTGGTAGTGAGGGGTGGTCTCCAGGAGAGGACATGGGGCTAAGAGCCACATAGGGTTGAGTTCTCCACAGTGACGGGGAGCCAGCATCAGCCGAGAGCCTGGTGCTGGCTGGTGCATACCCTTCTCCTCCTGGCTTGACCACCTGGAGCACCCAGTTTCCCTCCTCTCTACCCAGACCCAAATTCTCTACCAGGACCTAGCCTTCCAATCTGGACCTCACCTGTGAGAGAGCAGAGTGAGGACAACAGGAGGGACCTAGCAAGCCACAGGCTGTGAGACCAGTGAGTATGAATCCCTGGCTCCAGAGAGGGAGGAGCAGGTTCCAGACTTCCTGCATCCAGCCCCTACTTACCTGAATGGCACCCCAAGTAGGTCACGTGTCTCTTGTCGTCTCCCTGGCCTTCCAGAGGCACGATGCCCAGCATACCTGCCAAATAAACGTGAAGGCTCTGACTTCGGCCTAATAGGAATCATCTATCCCCCCACCTGGGACTCTCAGCAGACAATGAGACCCGAAAGCTCAGCCTTGGACATTCTCAGAGCCTCCACCAAGCTTAAGATCACACCCACTGGACACAGTGATTGGCCTACAGTTAGATGCTTGTCCCATGCAAGAACCTTCCATGACCCTAGGGGTACAGAGGATACTGGGAAAAAAGGCTCTTTTTGGCACTATGGGTCATAAGGGGTCAGCTTGGGACCAGCTACCACTTTTCCCAGCTTAACCACTTTTCTCGGCTTTACCAGAGAAAGAAGCCATCGCCTGAGGACAGCAGAGCTGAAAGACAGAAGAGAAGCTGGGGCCAATGGCACATGTGAGCCTCTGGACACGGCTCTGCCTGAAGCCCCTGGACTTCTTAGGTATTTGAGCCAAAAAGTTATCACGTTTTGTTTGTCAGTTTGAGGTCTGAGTTATTACTGGCAACCAAAAGAGTCCCAACTAAGGCGGGAGCTTTTCAAATCTTGGTGTTCCTATTGATTCCAGTCACCCCCAGGCCTTCAGATGAAGAGTGGGTAGCATATGGGGACAGCTGGAAACAAACACAACAGTCCCCTTCTTGCCCTTCTGGACGTGCTCTTGAAAACCAAAGCCAACATGGTTTATGCAAAGAATACATGCACATTCTAACCAAAACCTTTCTAATTGCACACTGACCAGTTTTAGTGGTCTAAGGCCCTGCAAGGTGCTGACTTCTGAGACCTAAGAGGCCCCTATAAGTTTCCAGCTTGGAATGAATCTGCCCTCCTGACCACCCTATTTGGGTGACAATATCTGAATCTCCATACCCACGTCCACCTTCCTACCTGGACGGTCAGAGTTGAAGGCAATCAAGCTGCAGCTGCATTTTATATGGTTCCCACATGAGGGGTTGGTTCCTGCTCGAATGCCACTGATCCAGGCCTGGAAATAGAGTAAGAACCATAAAGGCCAGGGCTCTACAAGTGCCTAAAGTAAGGGGTGGGGCATGAGCCAGAGAGCTCTACCTTAAAGCTGCACCATTACAGATGCATTCCCTTGAATCAAATCCTGTCAATACCACTCACACCGTACCTTAGGAAATGAAAAATGTTGAAATGATAACCTAAGTCATAAAGAGGACGGTTTTACTTATTAAATCAGTTTTCCAATACAGGAGAAGAGTTTGTCAGAAGGAAGCTCAGGCTGAATGAAATCAAGGGGCTAACTGGTCAGCATGCAAGCATGTGCACGTCTGTGCTGTTTCTATTAAAAAAGAAAGAGAAGCAAAGAATGGATAAATGAGCCCCTGGATAGAAGACAGACTCAACTTTCTCAACTGTATTGCTGAAGGCCTCCACCTAAATCCAGGGGTCTCCTCCAAACACCAGGAGAAAACACCCAAGCCCAGAGAGGGGAAAAATCAAAGTCCATGAAGTCCCATAGATGGGTGAATGACACACCCCATGAAAAAGCAAAAATGTTAACATCCCCACATCTAGAGGGGCAGAGGAACACCTTTTCTGAAACTAAGATCAGGGAAGTCCATATAGTTTCTCTGTTGGTATCAAAGCATTGTTCAACAATCGAGCACCCACATTTCTCGACCCACCCACCGACAGTGTCCTGGAAAACACCTCCACCACCCAAGTTTCAATTTCAATGTTCACCTACCTCAAGAAGAACATTATCGTCCTATTTTTTCCCTCCTGATTTGTGTTTACTGTAAAAATACAGTGACAGGAAATATCTTTGAAAAGAATAGATCACCTGTTCTCCCATCTCCCTAACATAAACTTTTAAAAACCCCCTCTGTAATCCATATTTCCATGCCTGTCTGTTTATATTGTTGGACTGCAATCCACTGGGGAACAAGCCCCAGGGCCCTTCAAGGACACTCCTCACCCCTCCAAGCAGTATTTACTGTACTCAGAGACAGTCTTCATGCAAATCTGAAACCTCTCTCTCCCACCCCCACCCCACCCTTTCCACCGCACTCAGAATAAAGCCAACTTTTTCCTGTGGCCCTCTTTCCCATCCCACTCTTCCTGTAGCTGGATGCTTCTCACCCTTCTGGCCTCAGCTGAAATGTCTCCTCTTTCCAGCAACCTGCCCTGACCACCCTAGTGAGATTAAACCCTACTTCACTGTCTATCTCCATCTCCATTCCAGTCCCTTCCATGCTCTTCAGGGCATTTATTAAAACTTGCTATGTGCTTGCATCCCTGTCTGCTTGCTGCTTGTCCCCCACCACGAGGAAGGAAAGTGCTGTCTTGTTGACTTATGGTTCCAGCAGCTGGGTACAGCACATGGGAGGTGCAGAAAAATTATTGTCCAGAGGATGAAAACCGGGCTTCTGCCCCAGGCTGCTCTGATGTGCGTTGGCCCATAATGGGGTTACTATATAGGGTCAGTTGCTAGGCCCACTTATGGGAGGACACTCCCAGGCCTTCCAAATAATATGGGGAGCGGCTGACCATCATCTCTGAAGCACACTCATCAGGCCGGCTGCCAGTCCGGGGGTCCAAGGAGCCCCCCAGCACCTCTGGGCTCCACCTTCTCAGGTTTATCCGGGCCCCACCCAGCCTCTGACAGCATCACCCCTAGTAAGGGAAGAGCTTGCGCCAGCCGCGAGAGGAGGAAGCGCCGGCGGAAACCCGAGGGAGGGGCGCGCCTGTGGCCAAGGGGCTCCCCACTCCACTGACACACGCAGACTAGCCGAGACCAGGGCAGATAGGGGCATCTCTCACACACCCCAGCCCCGGGCAGGGGCGATCCGGGACGGCAGGGAGGAGGAGCCGGCGCCAACAGTGTCCGCACCGCGGCTCTCCGGCGACGCCGACCGGAAGCTGGGAAGACAGGCAACCTCGCAGGCCTCAGGCCTCGGCTCAGTTGGGCGGGCTACGCCACCTTGGGGGTCCTGGAGCCAGGCGAGAGGGCCGACGGACTGCGGGGATAACCGAACGGCCAAAGAGCGTCCCGGGAGCTCCGGACTCTCCCTGCCGGCTGGTGACAACATGACCCGGAGTCTGAAGAGGGCGCCCCAGGGCAGACGGGCTCTGGGGTCCCCGCGCGGGGCCACGGGAGGGCGAGGGGGCACGGGGCCTGTGTGCCAGGCTCACCTCTCGGCGGGACGGCCGGGCCTCCGTGTGCCGGAACTTGGACACCTTGAAGCGGCTCATGGCGGCGGGGACCGCGGATGGGGTAGCTTCGCGGACCAGGGCGTCGGCTCTCAGGTGCACTGCAAGAACCCGCGACGCCCGCGGCCTCCCGCTCCACCCGCGGCTCTCCGCCTTCGACCACGCCCTGACACACCCGGCCAATCGCAACGAGCCCCGGCCGGCCGGGCCCCGCCCCCGATACCTCTTCTTCCGTGCGCGCGCTGCCGGCCCCGCCCCCCAGCCAATCACTGCTAGACAGCCCCCGCGAGGCCACGCCCCAATGGCGAAGGGGCGAACGGCAAAGAGGTCACGTGCGGCGCGCTGTCGGCCCCCCGGTCCCCCGGTGTGTGGGAACTCGGAGCCAGAGCTCGGATTTTGTGTGCAAGGATTTGCCCCTGGCGGCTTTCCAGGGTCCGGGGCGCGCCCTATCTGGGGAGGAGAGAGAGCAGAAATGACCTGGCTCGATTTCAGAGACAGGGAACACGTTCACGGAGAGAGAAGGCGCTAGTCCAGATAGCAGACAGTGAGTGGCAACTGGCGAATGGGAGCCCAGGTCCGACGCAAATCCCTGTCCGTGCTGTCTACCCTAAAGCCTCAGCATCCCACCCACCCTGCTTAGTTCTGGTGGGCTCGGCGGGAGGGATGTGGCCTTCAGCATCCCCTTATTAGGCTACATCTTGGCTGCAGGCTTTGGGCGCCGTGGGGTAGGACTCCTCGAAGGAAATCAGTGAATCATTTACAGGTAAACTGAAAAGGCGAAAGATAGGGGCAGTGGAGAATCCATTAAATAGTAAACGTCCCCATCCGGCGTTGCTTGCTTTTACGCAGCAACTCAGGAAAAATGAAAGCGGATTCATTCCTCCTGGGTCCATTCATTACACAAATATTTCTCTTCGCTTTGAAAATTGATTCTGTGATTCCAAAATATGCTTTCTGCTTGAGAAAGGACAGAACACCTGCTCAGGCGTGTCTAGAAAAGGGACTTTGATCTGAGGAATGAGAATGATTGGTCGGAAACGCCAGCTCCTGCGAAAATGGCTACAGACAAAGCTTCACCGAGGTAGGCTGTACACCGTGATTCTAAAAGCTCGGACTGGCGATGGGCCCAGATAGACCCCAAAATGCAAGTTCTCTTCAGTTCAGTGAAGACTAAGAGGCCATTACCAGTATCCTACTGAGTTAAGAGCGACTTTAATCTCCATAAACTAAAAATAGGATGTCAGTAGAGTTGCCTGAAACCTAGGATTTGGAACTCTAAATAGTCTGGCAGCCACCAGAGTGCATCTTCCCCATGGTACTTACTCTTCGGACTCTAATGCCAGCAGCTTTGGAAAAGACACCATCAGTGCAATCTTGAGTAAGTTGTGGTGTTCAATTACTGTGAATATTGTTTCTTTCTTTTTAATTGTGGTAAAAACATATAACATAAAATTCACCATTTAAAAGTGTACAGTTCAGTAGTGTTGAGGACATTCACTGTGTCGTGCAACAGATATTCTTAAGATGGTAAATTTTATGTGTATTTTCCTACAATAAATTTTAAAAATATAAATTGGCTATACACCTATTGCAAAGTTATGTAAACCTCCCGAATTTGTTTTATGTCATTTCGTTATCATCCCTGAGTTTGTTTTTGTTTTTTTATTCTACCATTATGGCAGATGGGCCTAAATGGGCACAGTTAGAAAGTGAGAAAGACTTTAGCCCTCAGAAGTAACGAATGGACATGCCATGGGCTAATTCTGGTCCACAGATATGTCCACATTTCCTAAAAGTTTGGATTTCAGCGTCTCTTGAAAAATGAAAAGATGTAGCAATAGTAGGTCCTAATCCCCATATGACAAAAATGGGCTGGAACTGAGAAGCACCTGCCACTTTTAAAGTATGTTTCCCCATTTACCACAACCCCACTGGTCTCTGTCATCTTATATGTGGCCAAAACACCCTTACACTTTATCTGCTTGACCCTGGCATCTGGATTTATGACTTTCTCTCCCAGGAAAGAAAGAAGCCATAACCCTGGCTGTGTTGGGTCATGTGACTGTATTTCTACAAACTGGGGGCTGATAGAAGCAGAGTTGGAGGGTTTCATTTTCCCATTCCCACAGTGACCAACCTGAACTCTAATGCAGGAGAGAGCCAGAGGGACATAGAGGCCCAGAGAGTGACCATCTCACATGTTCCCAGATCCATTCTGGCTGGAGAGAGTGATTCCAGTAGAGAGTTTAGAGCTCTAAGGCTGCTGCTGCTGCAAATTTGAGCAGAATAAATTACTTCATGACTTGCAAAGTTGAACTGACAGCCTCCATGATTCCTTCCAGTCCCACACCCTGTGAATTACCAGATTTGTTTCTTTATACTCCTGGTAACTCCACTTCACTTTCTTTCTAGGGACCCCAGAAGACACCTCTTTTCAACTTTCTTTTTTTCCTCTCAGGCTGCTTGAGGGTCAACTGCCATCATAATGGCACTGTAACTATCTGGATCAGGAAGTTCATGACCAACAGACTACTTCAACGGAAACAAATGGTCACCAACGTCCTTCACCCTAGAAAGGCAACGATACCTAAGACAGAAATTCGGGAAAAACTAGCCAAAATAGCTGATGACCAAACCAGATGTCATCTTTGTATTTGGATTCAGAAACCATTTTGGTGGTGGCGAGACAATTGGCTCTGTCATAATTTATGGTTCCTTGGATTATGCAAAGAAAATGAACCCAAATATAGACTTGCAAGACATGGCCTTGAAAAGAAAAAGACCTCAAAAAAAAAAACACTGAAAGGAATGCAATAACAGAATGACGAAAGTTAAAAGGCCAGTGTTGGTGCTGGGAAAAAGAAAGAGTAAAGATTCATCAGTGACTTTATCTGTGGTGATTGAGCAGATTTTTCATGAGAGGATTAATAAACTAAGAACTTAAAAAAAAAAAAGTGGGTTAAATTCCAGCAAAATGAGAATGTCTGGTTAGCTTGGTGCCTGGCAGAATGATTTAGATTTCACAGGTCCTGTGTCCAAGAATGATTAATAACGAATAAGAATTTGGGAGGCCACTTAAGTCCTCATTACAGAAAATTCAAAACACTTCTTGTAACTGAAGAAACATTAGCAGAATGAAAGTGACCAGAAAGGAAGAAGAGGGCAAAAACCTGCACAAAAACATCAAAGGGTCTTAATATGCATTCTTATTTTAAACTGTGACACCAAAGAAAAAAACAGTTCCAATAGGATGTTCTCTTAATTTTCTGTAAAGTCAGTGAGGTTTCTGTAAATTGGAATTTTTACAAGAGGGGATGGATGAGGCTGGCTTCAGTGCCTACAAGAAATTCTTTAGATTTAGTTATCTGTCCCTGAAATGGTTGCTTATTAAGATGCACATTAAAAACATTTTTATACATAAGCCCTGCCTAGTTCATTTCAGGAGCTGGAGGCCCATGTGTTGTTACGTCAGCACATGAATGGACAATTATGCAACAAAATACATTTCAAAAATGAGGAAAAACACTCATTCTCCCTTCCCAGCAGGACAATGCACCTTACATTATTATTTTGTTGCTTTTCAAATGAAGGTATACCCATGTGTTCTTGGGGCTCTAAAGTTTTACTACACCTAGTGATTTGTTCTGCAAAATATTTTAACAGAAACACAAAATATAACTTTTCTGGTGATAATTCACAGCTAAAGGACAGTTTCATAGAAAAGACTGTCCTTTTCTAAAGTGATATTTTCACATTGGAGGCTACTGATGGCCAGAGGATCCAGAGCTTTATTCTTATCATTTGTGATCTTTTTTTTTTTTTTTTTTCCCCCCTTAAAAAGAGTTCATTTCTCAGGTTTGTGAAACATTGCCTAAGTTTAAACCTAGTTTGGGCAGAGGAATATTTAGCGGCAAGCTGGAGCCACCTGCAGTTTATATAAAGGGCCTTTAAGGAAATCATTAGAAAACCCAGGCAACTGAGGGGAAGACACAATTCATCTCCTTCTTTTGCAGGGAACTGCACCCACTGCAGATGTCATGTCCAGGAACATGTGGGTTACACATTTCACATCCCCTAGGAATTGTCCCATACTCTCTTGGAGAGTAAAGGAAATGTTACATCTAGAAAAATTGTGAGCTAGCTTTATTGCCTCTAAAGAGACTGTCTTGAGACCCTTCTGCTCTCCATGGAAAGGCTCTTCACATGGAGAAGGGAGCAGCCAACCCATTGCATAGCCATGGACTTGGCCAGTCCCATTGTACCTTGGACAGTCAGAGTATCTGCAGGAAATCACAACTCCCAACTAGCTCTCACAGATCTCACTACCTCAGGAGAGTAGGAAGGGCCCAGCGGAACAGTAAAATGAAAAGTGAAAAGGGGGAGATATGTTGTGAAACTTGTGTGCTTTTTGCAAGTAACATTTGTTCCTCTTTAAAGCTGAAGTTTTTGGCTTTAGACTGAAAACTGGGTGAAGGGAAGGGGAGAGATAAAGGACATATTCTGCCTGGGAGTGTGGGTAGGTGTGGCCTGTGTGTTCATCTCAGTTTTTGCCATTAAGTCTGGGATGGGTCCATTAGTAGCTACCATCACCTTAGGGTTCTCTTTCCTAAAAGGAAATACAAGCTCTCCAACAATTAGCCTTCTTGATATACCCTAAAACATGAACACACATTCCTTTTCAATGTGGAGGATTTTTACTGTTAATCGCTATGGGGAAATAGCTGGCAGAGAAAACTAAAGTACAAAAAATGAGGAAGTTACAAAGCTGACAAAGTTTTCATATTAGTGAGCCCTCCTCTAGTTTCTAACTCACTCGGAGGTGGTAAGTGCAAGTCCCTTTGCTTCTTGTTTTCAGCTTTTGTCCCTGAAAGTTGCTTCTCAATC